GTCCTGAAGCGCTTGATCAGCGCCGCAGCTCCGCCAACTACAATGTTCAGCAAAACGTCAGAATAAACGAAATCCGGTAGAATATTTTGTGGTGTGTTCTGCCGAATGTTCAGCAGTTCATCCCTGGTAAAACTGATCGTGTTTGAGAAACAAAAAACAGGAAAAACTAACAAAAACAGTACAAACACTGAAGAGCCAAGCACTGTGGCGGCCATCCACGGCGCCATCTTGAGTCCATCAGATATGTAATGACGTAAGACACTGAACGAGGAAACCAGGAACAGAACACTCTTTAAATACACAACTGAATGAGGGCATAACGAGGCACACCTGAGAAATGAAGCACACTAGGAGCAGGAACAGGAAGAACCAAATATGGGCACAGTGAAACACAAGGGAGAAACTAGGTCATGGAGGTCACGTGGGGGAGGAAAAAATACACAAAACAGTCCATGGGCATGACATTACTCCCCCCTCCCGGAAGGCGCGTCCCGCGCCGTAACAATTCCACTGGGACCCATGGCAGATCAGGCATTTCAGGGAGCCATGGTTGAGCAGGCAGACTAGGGACCCATGGCGGATCAGGCAATTCAGGGAGCCATGGCGGAGCAGGCAGTTCAGGGGGCCATGGCGGAGCAGACAGTTCAGGAGTTCCTTATGGGCTAGGGCGGCAAATCTTGCGGCGGTTTCCATAATGTTTGTCGGTTCGGTGTTCTGTCATGATCCTTTTGAGCTAGGAGCGAGGAGACGAGGAGACACAGGAGTAACTCAAACAAACAGACTTTAGCAAACAAAAAGGCAGGGAACATCAGGAACGTAGGAGACATGGAATGACGTAAGACCCCGAACGATTAACCTCCTGTCTGTAAGCAGACTTGTCTCCGTCCTGGATGAGGCCGATGACTGTAGTGTCGTCTGCAAACTTCAGGAGCTTGACAGAGGGGTCTTTAGAAGTGCAGTCATTGGTGTAGACGGAGAAGAGCAGTGGGGAGAGAACACAACCCTGGGGGGCGCCAATGCTGAACGTACGGGTGCTGGATGAGAATTTTCCTAGCTTTACTTGCTGCTGCCTGTCTGTCAGGAAGCTGGTGATCCACTGACAGACAGAGGTGGGCACGGATAGCTGAGTTAGTTTGGACAGGAAGAGGTTTGGAACGATGGTGTTGAAAGCCGAGCTGAAGTCCACAAACAGGATAAGCACACTAGGAGCAGGAACAGGAAGAACCAAATATGGGCACAGTGAAACACAAGGGAGAAACTAGGTCATGGAGGTCACGTGGGGGAGGAAAAAATACACAAAACAGTCCATGGGCATGACATTACTCCCCCCTCCCGGAAGGCGCGTCCCGCGCCGTAACAATTCCACTGGGACCCATGGCAGATCAGGCATTTCAGGGAGCCATGGTTGAGCAGGCAGACTAGGGACCCATGGCGGATCAGGCAATTCAGGGAGCCATGGCGGAGCAGGCAGTTCAGGGGGCCATGGCGGAGCAGACAGTTCAGGAGTTCCTTATGGGCTAGGGCGGCAAATCTTGCGGCGGTTTCCATAATGTTTGTCGGTTCGGTGTTCTGTCATGATCCTTTTGAGCTAGGAGCGAGGAGACGAGGAGACACAGGAGTAACTCAAACAAACAGACTTTAGCAAACAAAAAGGCAGGGAACATCAGGAACGTAGGAGACATGGAATGACGTAAGACCCCGAACGAGGAAACCAGGAAAAACTGGAGAGGAGAAACTAGGTCATGGAGCACGTGGGGGAGGAAAACAAACACAAAAGAGTCCATGGGCGTGACACCTACGAGTTTAGTTCACACCTTCATATGTTTTTTTTTGTCTCCAGCAACTTTTTTGTCTATTTTTCCACTCCATCTAAAATAAAATACAATAAACAACTATTGTGAATTAATTGCTATGAATTTTACTTGTAATATATTTAAATAATTTCTGAATGTTAAATTAAAGCCAGTTGTGATGGTATAAAGACGCCGATGTGGCATGTGTGTTTGTGGCAGGTTACATTAGACCAATATTTTGTTGTTTGTCTCTCAATTTGGAAATATGGGCTGGTACTGAGAAGTCCACAGATCGTTCCATCCAAGCACCAGCACTATTTGGTGAAAAAGATACATTGCAGATTGATTATTAAATAACCTGAAGTTTTTACATGTCTTTCTGTCACCCTTTGAGAAGCTATAGGTCTTTACATATTGTTTCATCTCATGAATACTCTCACAGGGTTTAAAACAGAAGATTAAATAATAAATCTTAACATTCTTAACAGAGGATGCAAAGCCTGATTAGATCAATTAAGTTTGACTTTGGACACTGATGTGGTAATTCTCAAAAAGTGACATTTATGTATCTCCAAAGCTCCAGTTTTTCTTAAATACAAGTTCAATACCTGCACTTACTTCAATGTGATTATGCTCTAATCTCTCAGGGCCATATTGAGTTCAGTGCTTTCTAGCTTCCTGAGGCCCAACATCTGAAGAGGATATACACATTCTGATGTGCCCCATCTGAGGGCTTCTTTCAGCGCTTACCTCTCCTCTCTGTTCCACAGAGGGATTTATTACCCCTTTCATTAGTCCCACTGAGGAGAATGGCCACCGTATGGAAGAAGTGACAGTCTCTGCTGAATCATAGTGTTGTCTTTCTCCTTCTTTCTGTGTCTTAGTTTCTCGATCTCTTTGTCTCTTTATAGAAGAGCTGTCTGTCTTATCTCCACTCCACCGAGGGAGGAATCTGGCTAATTCTTTTCACAGAAAGTCTCTCTCTCTGTCCCCCTGAATATGTCAGAGAAACCTGCTGGTGTTGAGTTCATGGAGAGCAGACTGAATCCTTACATGACCGCCACATCTGTGCACTCAATGTAAACAGATTGAGTGTTCGGCCTGTGCTGCCTATAGAATATGAATGGCGGCAATACATCAACTGGATGTTATATAATACCGGGTCACTGTAAAGCTGCAGATAATCCCATGATTTATTAATCAGTGTTGATGTGAAAAATTCAGTGAAATGTAAACTGTTCCATATGTTGGTAAATGCAAGCGGTATTTTGTTTTGACTATCGGATGTCCTATGGACCTCACAACGGCAGCAAACAGCAGTGCTTACCTGGAAAGCTTTCCTATATGACAAAGATAACAAAACAACTTAAGCGACAAAACTCTGTGACACTTTGTCAAAATTTAGTTAAACTTTTCTGAAACTAACATGTTTGACTAACTTTGTCTCATTTACCGCTTGTTAGCAGCCGCCTTTTTTTAAGACAAAAAGCTGTAAAAATTTATTTTATGTCATAGAACAAAATGTACAAACATATTTCAGACATTTAACTAAAAAAAACTGCAAAAAACATTGACTTTTGGAATGATGGAACCAGAAGTGCAAAAGTCCTAACTAATTACCATCTCCTTCCTGCAGCAATCTATTGTTAAAAGCAATAAATAAATATTTAATTAATTTTCTTGATCCTTCCAAAGCCCATTTTTCAAACTCAGTGACAGGAAGTAACAGGTGGGAGGTCAGAAGCCACTCTGCAGGGGCTCGCCAGGGTCAGAGGAGAAAAAGACTGATGGGACATAAACATTTGGAACTTCTCAGCATGACAGTGTGTGAGAGAGATTATGCACAAGGACGAAAGTGTGAGGAACAATAAAGAAATCGAGCCGTGCGCTTTTGTGTGATGGGTACAAGTGAACAGGAGGTGAGTGGGAGGACAGAAAAAAAGAGAGACGGACCGGGAACTGTATGGCTTTCATATCTGAATTTTTGTCTTGTTAAGGCTTGTCAACATCAATTGTTCCATTCATTTGCACAAAATACAGATGGAGCCTTGACAACTCAGTTTAGCAAATAACTTCATGTCTCCTCGGACGAGGAGAGCAAAGTCAGTTCCATTGAAGTCATTGTCAGTATATAATTCTCAGTTCTTCAGGCCAAATACTGTGATGCATTGAGTCAATGCATTCCTCAATAATGGCTCTACAAATCGAATTAACTGCTGATCCATGAAACAACATGTCCACAGACACTGTAAAAGCATTATCTTTACAGAGCAGCCTTTTTATCATGTGTTTTTAATTGCCCTATACAGTTGGGTATTTTTCCACTAAATGTAACACTAAATATGAAATTTCATTGTTCCGTGTGCAGTTCTCACTAATAAAGATTAAAAATAAATAATGATGGAAAGGAATCATTAAGAAAAGTGTGCATATTACACTAAAGTACTATAGTATTACCACATTGTTTTAAATATCATATCTTGGTTATACCCTGGTACTTAAGGGTATGGTAATGTAAATAGCACTATGTGCATTACCGTAACAGTACTGAAACAGTTGAGGAAAACATCTTATTCTTTTGTTCGCCAGATTATTGTTGTCTGTTAAATATTTGAGAGCAGTGAGGGATAAAGCATTTTTCAGTTGATGCTGAATCACTATATGTGCCGGTCCCTGATTAACTGTCCCACTGCGGTGATCTCAGCTGTAACTGTTAAGGTCTGAGAGACCAGATAAAGCAGGCTGAAAACATTGGCACATGATCTTGGAACGTGATTGCCATGAACTACATTGCTGTATTAGACATGCTTTGCTCTGGAAGATGATTAGTGCAAATAAATACTGGCCTTGTATGCTACCATTTAAAAGTTTGGGGGTGATTTTTTTATTGTTTTTAAAACAAGTCTCTTATGCTAACCAAGGCTGCATTTATTTGATGAAAAATACAGTAAAAACAATAATACTGTGAAATATTACATCTATTTAGAATAATTGTTTTCTATTCTAATGCATTTTTACTGTAAATGTAATTCATTCCTGTGATGCCAAAATTAAATTTTGCCAACACACGATCCTTCATAAATCATTTTAATATGCTGATTTGGAAAACATCAGTGTTGAAGGCATCTTAGTCTTAGTCCTCTTAATGTTGCTATTAAAGTGTAAGCATTGTAAACATTACTATTCATGTTTACATTCTTTTGGTAATACACTACTTAATGAAAATGTGTACTGCATATTTAATACATATATTTCAGTACCTCAAAGCAAATGTTAAACTTCACCTAAAGTTAACATAAATAGGACTTTGTAACCCACTTTATTCAGTATTTCTGAATAAATTAAGTTATTCAAAGAGAACATAAGAATGGCGGAAAATGATGCTATTCATTAATGGGTATTTCAGAGTGAAGCCAGGAGGTTTGAGCAAAAGGGCTGTAAAACGAGTGATTGATGATAAAAAAAAATAAAAAAAATTTCTGTGGAACATAACATACACCAATGAATCAGGCAAAATATACTTTAGTCAGTGTGGATGTCATATTGAATTTTATGTGGATGAAAATGAGGCTGTGAGGGATTGCTTTACAGTCAATAATAAGGTCCTAGATCACGTAATTTTCAAAACTCACATTTATCAAAACTGCTTCATGTAGTTTTTGTCTACTGAAAGGAAAGACAGCCTAATTTCCAATCCCGTCAAAAATTAAATGTGTCACTACTCTAAGATCTAATGCTTAAAGGGATAGTTCACCCAAAAATGAAAATTTGATGTTTATCTGCTTACCCCCAGGGCATCCAAGATGTAGGTGACTTTGTTTCTTCAGTAGAACACAAACAACGATTTTTAACTTAAACCGGTGCAGTCTGTCATTCTTATAATGGAAGTATATGGGAATCACGGCTTTGAGAGTAAAAAAAAACATACACAAACAAAACCAAATTAAAACCCTGCGGCTCGTGACGATACATTGGTGTGTAAAGACACGAAACGATCGGTCTGTGCAAGAAACTGAACAGTATTTATATCGTTTTTTACCTCTTATGCACTGAAATGTCCTGAGCGCGTCCTTAGCTCATCCTCGACAGCCGGTGCGTGACGCGTCTTCTTCTTGCTTTACGGCGGATCGCAGAATTATAAGTGCATTACCACCACCTATCTCTCAAATGGACCATTGACACTCCTAATTGAGATTGAAGATAGAGTGTCAATGGTCCATTTGAGAGATAGGTGGCAGTAATGCACTTATAAGTCTGCGATCCGCCGTAAAGCAAGAAGAAGAAGAAGACGCATCTGAGAACGTGCTCAGGACAGACTGCAACGGTTTGAGTTAAAAATCTTCATTTGTGTTCTACTGAAGAAACAAAGTCACCTACATCTTGGATGCCCTGGGGGTAAGCAGATAAACATCAAATTTTCATTTAATACAAATGTATTTCAAATACATTTTTGGGTGAACTATCCCTTTAAGACCAAGAACGTCAAGGCAGTAAAATGGGTTCAGTTTTGTTAATTGACTTTAAAGAAGACTTTAAGGGATGTATATACTAACAGCTTGTACTAGTGCAGAACCTCTTTTGGAGTTAAAACCTGTCAGGATTTACTAAGTGAAAAAAAAAAAATAGCCTTGAAAAGACATGGACATATTTTTGCAGTTGACCTTATTGCATACGCATTTGCAGGAGTTTCTCTTTCAGATGCAAAATTAATGGGAGGAGAGTATTTAAATAAATGATGCAACATGATTTACTAAGGTTTGTGGTAGTCAGTTTACTGGTATTTGTGCCATTATTTAATGCTTAAAAAAAGCATGTCTGAACCAATTTTGCCAGTTTGCGCTGCTCTAGGTGCGCAGATTGTGTTGGTTATTTTGGAAATGAGCTGGCTAAATCTGTGTTCTTCTACTGACAATTTGCGCATTGCCAGTAGATCACCCACAGGACCTTCCACTCCCATCTTTCTATGAAATTGCGATCTCATGGTAATTTGTCTTGTTTAGGAAATCTGGCTCTAAAAGTGTTAAACAGCTTAATTCCTTTACTTTCTTTTACGTTCCTTTACTTAATTTTTACAAGGTAGCTGATATCCTGATTTTTTTCATCAAATGAACATTTCCCAGCAATTGACTCCTGTTTAACTGCACTTGACAGACCCTATTATCCAAAGCACTTAGATTGCATTCTTCGTATAGATTTGATCAGGTCATACATTTCCCTGTGAATCAAACCTATGATCTTGGCATTGATGGCGCCATATACTCTTTGAGCTACAGAAATGTTTGAAATATCGCTGTATCTTAAGTACTTTAAGAGCTTACTGACAAGATGACTACCATAATTCAGTCATATGCAATATTTATTCTTGAACTCCATACCATGATTGAGAAACGTACAATCTTAAGACCAGCTAAAACTGTAACAGTAGGCTTAGTCTGTATGGATTCCTTGAAAAGAGAGAGATGTGTTTGTGCAGGCCTGTGGTCTACATGTCTCATGCCCTCAAAAGGAGGCAAAGAGGTGATGGAGCTTAAAGGAAGACAGGCGAGACCAACCTGGTGGTCTGGCAGTCATCACAAGCAAAGACGTGTTTTGTCTCAAGTTCCCCCACAACCGGCCTCTTCAGCTTCTCTGGTGTGTTTCCCAACTTTAAACAAACAGAGGCACCTCAAGTAAATATTTAGTGCCCTTGTGGGAGCGTTCAAAGGCTCCAGGAGAAATGAATGAAGTATTTTCTCTGCACTCACCTCTAAACAGGAGAGTTAGACAAAAGCTCAGCGACGAGAAGTGCTGGATGAATGACTGGAGGGAATATGTGTGCAAACAAGAGAAATCCAGATGCTTGAAATTCTTTGATCATTTATCCAGTTGTATTAACATTATATTTGATCAAATTATGATTAACTATAGAAGTAAACATACCTTTTGATGAGCAGACTTTTTTGTGTTTTCTCTCTGTTTGGCTTGATCAAAATGTCCTGACAACTCTTAGTGACCCTGCTGACCTCTCTGTTTCTGACACACCCTTACAGGAAGACACACAGTTCTCCCTGTGAGATCGTGAAGAAATAAGTAGGAGGAAATGATCCGTTTGTTTAATTCTGAAAGAGAAAGTGAAGCAAAGTGAGGGCAGTTTCACATTACTCCAGGTATTGGACATATCTGATCATCTGACAGAAATCAAATGTGTTTGCACAGGAAGCCTTTGGTCTGATGTAATATTGCACAGTGCTTTCAAACTAGGTTCTGAGGTCAGGACAAACTTAAAATAGAGCGCTGAGACCCAGCCCATCCCAAAACTACAGTGAAGCATAGCATCTGTGGTCTCGTAGTGTCATCTTCTCTGAATTCTGTGTCCTCTCCACTGCTCTGAAAATGAGATGTATCAGGATGTTTTTAAAGCAGTAGACGTCACATCACGCATCTCTTTTTTCCTCATATTCTGTTTATATATGTTGATTTATGTTTGACTTTTCTGTCGGATGTTGAAGTGATTTAGCATACATTATCATATCATCGTAACTCACTCTTCTGCTAACATTCACAATAGATCCTGCTATGATTTTCAGGGATGGGGGTGAAGGATGGAGCGAGGACTCAATTGCATTAAATTAAGGGCTTTTTATTAATAGTAAACAAGACAAAAGCAAACAAAAACTACCCCATAGGGGAAAACAGACTAGCAAGGCAGGACAAGGCAGGGCAGGACAGGACACAAGGCACACACAACATTCGACAACGAACTGGCAGGAGACTGCAAACACAAGGAGAATAAATAGGGAGCAAATGAGGAGGGTAATGAGGGAAACACAGGCGGGGCAAATTAACCCATAATCAGGTAACAAGATGGGTGGGGTCAAGACAATTGACATGAGAGCACATGGCACACAGGAAACAAAGACAAAAGCCATGTGCTCACACAAAACAAAAACACAAGCACATGGCCAGCAAAACAATCACAAGCCATGTGCTTGAACAAAACAAGACACAAACACACAGCTAATGAGAATATACATAAGCCGCGTGTTCACACAAGACATGACAACATGAAAGCACGCAACCAATGAAAAACACAAGCTGTGTGCTACACAGTACACAACATAACATGACATGAAAGCACAACAACACAAGACAAAGACAGCATGCAGCCGAACACGAACCACATGCTACACAAGACACAACACACGCAGACAGAAGAGCACATGGCCCGAGTGAACTCGAGACCGCATGCTCCTACAACAAGACAGAACATGGAGCGCGAGTGTCCGAACCCCGGCACGAAACCGAAACTCAACAAGACATGAGTGCCGGGATCCGAACACCACGCTCCAACATGAAACTAGGAAACAGGATACGCAGACGAGAGCGCACGGCTTGAGCCCTCTCGAAGCCGCGCACTCACATGAAAACAACAACATGACGGGAGTGTCAGGCCTCTGTCACAAAACCATGAATAAACTAGACCGAAGTGACAGAACCCTGACAATGATTTGCAGAAGATTAAATTAGGAAAGCCAGAGACTTTAATCAAGAAGTTTTATCACTTATGTCGGAGGACTTGTGTCCTCGACACATCCTGACAGGAAGCAGTGGTGTGAGAAATTACCTGGCACATTATCTACTGCTCCCGCTATAACACTGATCAACTCAACTGCCAGTCGCAGAGGACGACATCTGCAATGTATCACACTGGCTCGTCACCTCACTAGCGTGTGCTCCAAAGGATGGAAGGGAGTTTTCAAACACTGTGCCACCAGTGGCAAAATTATTCAAAGAGACGGATAGATTGTAATTTGTTTTGTGCTACCATTAGGTAGATGTCATGACTCAAGTATAGTAACAAATGAAGATGCATGTTCTCACCATCTTTCACCATACATGTTTGTCTTTTTTTTCCATTCTGTTAAATGCTAACCCGGTTATATGCTACATGGTCAAAAGTATGTGGGCATCCCTGTGCAATTAACAGGTTTGCCTTGGCCTCTTAATTGCAGATGAGACCAATTTAACTGCTACACCATACAATTAAATTCTTGAGGAGTATGGTTTCTAATTAGGGTCCCAGGGGACTTCAAGGGATGCCTGGGGATCCATGAAACGTTTCAGAGAAATTTGAGAGAACTAAAAGTATTTTAAGGCTGTTAGTATGTTAATAAGATATTAATAAAATAATTTAATACATTTATAGATTTTTTATTATTTTTTATTCCACTTTTCAAAAATTGGTCAGCAATCATTAGATTAATTATATATATATATATATATATATATATATATATATATATATTCATTAATATTCCAAAGGCTGTTCGCACACACACACACACACACACACACACACACACAAAGCACATAATCTCACAGAAGAGGGACAGTTCAATTCAATTCAATTCAAGTTTATTTGTATAGCGCTTTTCACGATACAAATTGTTGCAAAGCAACTTTACAGCAAATTAAGTGTCTACAATGTTTAGTGGTAGCTTATCAGTGGTGACTGTCAGTTAATGTACATATGGCAGAAATGTACGGAAAAATCAATTAAAGACGTAATCAATTAAAGATGTAATAAAACAGATGATGAACTTGTTGAGATATATAGCTGAGTATCATCAGCATAACAGTGGAAACTAATCCCGTATTTTCTAATAATATTACCAAGGGGCAACATGTATATTGAAAATAGCAGAAGACCTAGGACAGATCCTTGTGGCACTCCATATTTTACTGGTGATAATTGAGATGACTATATATATATAACATTTATTTTTAATGCTAGGATTTTATTTATTACTAATATTTTAAATGTTTATACTTTTTATATAATAGTAGGTGGGAAAGACCAATAACAATATATTAATGTAATCATTTGTAGTATTTAGTATTTTCTCATACAGTGTATGAGAAACTCCTTATTCATTTTGCTTTGAAATTGTTCATCAAGGTATGGTATTTGAGTGTTCAGTGTTCACATACTTTTGCCATATAGTGTACATAATGAAAACCCATTTGAAGTCTCTTTTACATCAGACATGAATGTCAGGAATCATTGTAATGAACGGAAGAGACAATTAATTAGTGGACAGATGGATGGGGACGTGGCCTGTGGATCCTAAATCACCTCTCAGAGATTCTTGCTTAGACAACAGAGTTATTCTGTGATATTATTCCTCCAGGCTACATCATAAGCCACTGTGTCATAACATCCACATTACATTCATTAAAGAAAGGATGTGGACGTGTTTGTCAAATCCATTTCTGAATGCTGTCCTTCATGTTCTCCTGGCAGCTCTTGCTATTAGTGTCGGGCTGACTTCCTGTGTCATTACAATCAAATAGATCTGCAGCTACAGATTACATGCAAGTTTCTTCTAGATTTTCAAGAAAAGGGTTAAAGAAAGTACTTTACACTTTACTCGTACAACTGTAAACTTTACATACTGTAACCACACAACAATGCTTGTAAAACCATCAATCAATCAATCTATCTATCTATCTATCTATTGGTCAGTCTGTACATCTGCCTGTGCCTCTATCCATTTGTCCATTCGTCCATCTACCTGTCATCATATACATATTAAGCATAGTATGTGTAGGAATTATTTAAAGTGCGGATACAGCAGTTGCTATATAATCTATATTGATGATCAGATAACGAGAATCTATAATCAGATACGGATGTAGAATTAACACTTTGATTGTGCTGCAAATAGAAAGAAAGAAAAAAAAAACTCCCACCCAAAATATCTCAGTACTACTCCAAGCAGCATAGCTTTATTCAGGCAATGCACCTGTTGTGTGACATGCCTGTCCAAGTTTAACACCACTAATTTATAGGCTGCAGCTGCATATATGACTCCCCATCTTTTAAACAAGCAGTCTTTGCAGTTGTAGTCCCAGTAGTCACACACAGCTGAGAGCAGCACGCCTGGAAGTAGGACAACTCATTTTCTGTTGAGTTTTTATAACAAAATACTTCTCTCAGTGATTAGTGTTACACTGCACAGGCCTAGTTTACAGATTTCCACTTTAATTATGTTGGTTTAGACAATTGTTTTGTCTGTCATAGTATGTGACTACGCAGTAATATGTACTGGAGTGTGTCATCTTCCTAAACATCTTCTCAAGCTCTTTGTTGAGTGAATGAAGCCGAGTGAATAAAGCCAAATAAAATAGCAGCGTGTGTTGACCTGTTCCAAAATTCCAAGGCGAGGATGACAATCTGACTCACTGAACATTTAATTGAAGTTTAACCCACTCTTAAAAGCTCTCATGGTAAATTACACGCTGTTTCCCAAGAATAAATTCTCCTTTCTTGTCATTAGTAATCTGGAGCTTAGTGGGTCAGTGTCTCCTTAGCCTAATTCACATGCATTTCTTGACATCTAAAACAAGTTAAATACATGATAATGTGGCGATAATGCACTTCAAGTGCACATCAGTAAGTCCCGACAAACCTGTTCAAGCTTTAGCAGCTGAATCAAGGAAATCAAGGCTTCAGGTCACACAGGAAAGTTCTTACAGAAAAACAGATCAAAGATTAAATGAAACCTCACATTAGCACTGCCTCAGTAAATAGAGCTGGAGTGAACATGGTATAATTTAGCTGATAACTGCTGAAGAAAGGTTGAAAGGCTAGCAAGAAGGCACAAAAAGCAATGTAAGTGTCTGGAAATAACCTCCAGTGATGAATAAAACTGTGAGGAAAAAGGCTAAAACAGCTGCAGAGTAATTTTAGAAACAAAACCTTTCAATACTTCAATTTGCATTGTGAAAAGTATAGGTTTCTTCCGTCTAAGTGAGAGTGATCTGTACAAAAGATGCTATTAGAGGTTCCTCCCCCTAATGTGCAGTAGAAATTCTAGAAACCCAATTAGTGGACATGCTCTGTTTTAGTATCACTTAGTCATGCCCATTCATCCCCATAAACTGACGACTTGCCTCCCTCATTTCCTCACAGACCTTCAGAACAGCTGCTAGTCAGCCTGTCGTTCTCTCAATGGAAGCCTGAAACCGGAGCCATGAGTGAATGCCAAACTTTTCAGGAAAAGACCTACATGTTCTGCCCCCTGTGAGCTGACAACTCCTTGCGATGCCGCTTTGCTGCGAAGAGATGAAGATCTGCTGTTACCTGCGGACAGCTGGGTTTTACACAGTGGGTGCAAAGATGTGAAAGAGGGTAAGGAATGCACTGGTATTTGGAGTTAGCATGAATTCAGCATCAGGGCTATGCAGTTTTTTCCACATAAATACATTTATTTCTACATGTTTTGTACATTTAACTTGTTGCAACATCCCTAAACTACTATTTTCATTCCAAATACAAATTTTTTACATTATAAATGATAAATGATAATTGTAATTTGATAAATTGGTAATTGATGCATCTTTTGTGTGACTATTTATGTGCAGTTTGCTGTTACAAACATAAAGCCATTAGTGATAGTTAAAATAGATACACAGAAGCCAGTTCCAAGATTATTAGCATCTGTCGATAACCAATCCTCTTTGGCTGAATGAATAATAAACATTTTCTGTTTTCAATAATTGTTTTGTCTTTTTTTAATAAGCATTATAGTCTATTGTACTTGCCAAATTACCAACACTGATTAGTTACAGCTTTTTATTGATGTTTGCCAAACAATAATTGACAAGAAGGGTAAAAATGATGCCAGTTGCAGCTCATTAGAAGTAATTACATTTAATTGAATGAATTATAGCATTTATTTGAATGAATTAGCAAGAGAGAGAGAAAGAGAGAGAGATTGTGGGTTTGTGAATTATATGTGTCTGTGCAGATCTCTATATTAATACTGAAGAGTTTAATTACCTAAAAAACACCAGGCTCTTATGTTTATGTTTAGTTATTTCACATAAATGGCAATGAAAAGAACCTATTCATTGCCATTAAAGTGAAATTACTGAACTACACATAGGAGTCTGATAAAAATGCTAATTTTAGAAGAAAATTTCAAATGGCACTTAAGAGGCTTTTGCATCTGAACTCTTCATATATGTGTATGTGTGTAGGCCTAAGTGACTGTAACAACATTTATGTTACAAAAGATTTTGGTTTCGAATTAATAGAAATTTTCTATTCATCTTTCTATTTATCATGTCTTCTTTTGGTTGAATGGTAATAACGCTTTAGTTTAGTGACCAATTCTCTCTATAAGCTAGCTGATTATTAGTATGCATATTATTAGCATTTTGGCTGTTTATTAGTACTTATAAAGCACATATTAATGCCTTATTCTGCATTACCATATTTTAGATCCCTTTATCCTACCCCAGACCTAAAATTAACAACTATTAACTATTAATAAGCAGCAAATTAGGGGTTTATCGAGGCAAAAGTCATAGTTGTAGTGAGAATTTTTAAAATAGAATTTTTAAGTCCTTAAAATAAAGTGTTACCATATACATTGTCATGAATGAATCTTCTTTAATCATCCAGGTAAGTGCTTTCAGATGATCTTAGTGGATGTCACTTTTTGGGATGTCGGACCATCATTTCTGTAATTCTGTGCAAGGTCTATTTGACTCAAGGGTGAATGAGCAGAGAGCCGGTGAATGAGACCTTCCTCATCATTGACGGTACTCCATTACATTTGCTTGTCTGTGATTGGATGGAACAGACTGGCGCGCA